AAAAATACACCATAATGATAAATTATATTTGCTCATCATATAGTTATATTATTCTGTTTTTTTAGTGGAGACATCTCTCGAATGAGCCGGCTAAGTTTAGTCTAGACTTCGGTCATTGCCAGGGGATGATTTGTAACTTTTGCTATGGCAGATTGCGCAATTGCATTTTTTATACGGCTGCATGAAATCGTTTTCTTTGTGGTTGTTTTTGGACACACGTTGGCTGCCGTACTGTTGTTATTATCTAGATTATGTTTTTAGATTGTCCCCGATTGCTGCACAGTCACGTTTCTGGACGATTGTGTGGGTGCTCTTTTAATTTCTGAGACATCTCGATAGTGGTTTTTCGTTAATTTTATCTATCGGGAGTTTTTGCTTCAATGTTAAGATCGTGCTTAGTAACATTAAATGGTTCCACACTGGCACCTAAGTGCCTATGATACCTTTTTTTGCAGTAACACAGCTCTTGAAAGTCTACTGATTGACATATACAATTTACTTATCATAATGCAAATGTCTAAATTGTTATCTGATATGGGACAAGTATCATTTACAAACACGACAGCGTTGACTGACGCATCAAACGACTCGTGGGTGCTATGTATATATGATGTGGTTCAGTCTATTATTGGCAGATTAGGTATTGTATGGTTATTTGTTATACCTACTCAGTATGGTGCCTAGGTTTGTTTGGCATTTGATATTTTGGATTTACTAGTTTGTAGCTTTTTGCATGCTGTTTATGTAAATATGTATAAAATCGCAAGCATGTACGGACTTGACGAGGAGTTCTAAAACTTTTTTGCGAATGCAGTTTTTCATAAAAAAAGAAAGAAATAAAAACCCGTTCCCATTACCTTGGAATCATTAAAATGTTGATGACATCGCACTAAACGTTTTGCCTGGGCTCTTAGCTTAGCGCAGACGTTAGCTCCTGTAGCGTCATCAGCCATTGAACCGGTCGTCAGAAGTGCTCATCCGTGTTCATCGAATGCTGTGTTTACAGAAACAACATCTACCGGTACAAGGTGGTATTTCGCAAGAGGCATCTACTTAATTTTTTCTTCGCTATGTTTACACAGATCTTTGTTTGTGGACTTATTTGTGAGGCCAAGTAGGGTTATGTGGGGATTGACTTCGCTAAGTAAATTGACTAACCAAAATTAGTGTTTTATCTATACAGCGTTTGGTAAACTCAACGAGAAGTATTTATTGAATCTTCCGTTCCTTTTTTGTATGATCGAACCCGTTCATTGAACGAGGTGCACTAGTAAGAAACGTGGCGTAATTTTGTAGAGGGCTTACCTTTTGTCGTATTAAGTTTATAGATTATTAAAATAATTATTGATCGCTCGTTTCAACTTCTACAGTTAATAGATGTTATATTAGTTAGATTACATTACAAAATTTTAGTCTGTTTTTTAGTTGTTGTTATTGTGTTGCGAAATTAACAAAAATAGCATGTCCGTGATGCAAAATTTGCATTCTAAACACGTATCTTCATCTGAAAAAGCTTACAGTTTGTACTCCACATTAGCATCGTTATTTTTATTGCATTTACCCAACGTGATCTGCCTGCGGATCCGTCAGGTCGCAGGAACTGTCATTCATTTATATAGTACCAATCAATCTGCTATCTTGATCTAGGCACTTGTTGGTGGATTTCTAGCTTTTTATACGTCTGCTATCTGAGGTGAACAAACTTACATACTGATTGCTCATTCATCTTACATCATTGTGGTTTAAGTTTGTTTGAAATAATTTACCTTTTACCTTTTTCATCGTCCGATTTGTGACGGCTGGGTGTATATACATACACCTTTCTTTTCATTTGTACGCTTCGTTATTGTGTATTCGTTATTTTATTAGCGGTAATGATAATAATAATACTACTACTACATTGCCTGTACTATTTTTTACTTTAGATTAGTCGATATCAGACTTCTTTTGTAGTCCCGAGCGAGCTAGACTGTTGCGGACAATTGAGATCTATTGTGTGGAGCTTTTTGTCTATTCCCGTTGAATAAGGTGATTGTGCTAGAAGGAAGGAGACAATTTCAGACAATCTCGGCGATGGCTTCAATCGATGATTTATTCTGTCTAGTGTTCGAGAGGAAATAAGTGCGTATAACGTGCGAATGGTGTAGTTTCTTTAGTACAATATATTTCCTTGCCTTTTTTTCGCTAGATGTTAGAAGCTATTGACTTCAAAATTGAATAATGAGCGGATACTTAGGTAAACATCCACTCGTTGCTACATGACGTGACTGATATTACACAAACTGGCGAAGCAAAAAATTTAATTCGCGTAATCAAAACAGCATTAGCACCGAATTATTAGAAGAGAACGTTTGCTGTTCTTCGGAGTGTATGATTTTTACATCCGTCTTATTTAGTCATGCACTATTTGATTAAAGTCAAGCATGATAATAAATTATCAAGCATATACACACAGTAAGAATATTTTTAGAAATCATTACATCTACAAAAAACGCTATCCATCCTAAAAAGTGTAGTGTGCTCTTAAAACGTCACTAACGTTATCGTTTTATCTAGCGAAATCTCAGCTGACATACCTGTTCGTATCAGCAAAACCAGTTGCAACTTGCTGCAGGCTATATACGGCTTACGTTATATAATAATATGCATTAATTTTGTGTAACCAAGGTCACCGTGTCGATGACTCCAGAAGGCGGGGCATCAGGCTAAGTCAATATATCCTTAAGTGGCAGTTGTGAATTAATCACCGTGCACACGATGCACTTTCAATCTTGTTTCAGATGTTCGCTAGTACGAGTATTTTCATTCATAAATCAGTGGCAATATTGTATCATAATAATATAAGCCACCTTTATTTGTATTATTTGTGTTTTCCAAGTACCTAGTCCTAACAGATTCAGTTAATGTTATTTTAATGTTATATGCTATTATTTATCGTTGTCTATCTTAACTGTATGTGTTATTGATTATGCAACAATTAAGCTTTTATAACGGCATCTTGGCATAATAATGTTTTGTTATTTAGCGTAAATCTTACGTTTATCAGTTATATTTATTGTATGTGCGCTTAACTTTAAACATTCAAGTTTATGTTCTTTGTTCCATGTGTTTTCGTTGTCGTAGGCGGCACTCAACCCAATTTTGTTTTTAAACATGACATGTGGGGATCCTTTGTTGTGATTTTCCAAAACTTAATATATTCTGACGTTCTTGGTGTGAAACTACCATCGTTTCCCACCCACATGCCCCAATTCTATGTTTCAACAATAAAAGGATTATCAGTACAAAATACGCTTATGGAAATAGCTGCCCACGTTTCTTCGTTCCAAAATTGTATCTCTTTATGAAGGTGTTATTCATTTAGATAACTTTGGGTATGTAATAAAAGTGGGTTCACGGTCGCATTATTGTCATGTGCATTTTTTGCAGCGACTTTACTTAGAATTCTTTTGAGACGTACGTATGTCTGTGCGAAAATTAACATTAAAATTGTCGGTCCAGTGTCATTTTAGACGGCTATAAAAGAGACAAACGCAGGTTTTACTGCTTTATAAATATTCTGTTGCGTTAAAATTATAGTGACTTGACAAATGAGCGTAGACACATAAGTATGTTATTTTTCTTTAAAAAAAAAGTTATAGCCATTGTCCGCATCACAAAAGATTAATTTGACGGTAGCCGGTTCATACTTATCATCAAGTGTTTTAATTTTGCTTGTCAATAAGACTAATCAGCTCGCATTTGAAAAAGTTGATGATTAATTGAAACAGTTATGTAAAAAAGATCTGCTGACAAATAGGTTCGATATCAAAGTGAATTCTTCGGTCTGCTATTTCTTTGTGTGTTTGGAACAAAGCTTTTAGGTAGACAACCTGTCAAGGTCTCCGTAGTTACGCTTCAGAAAATTTCAAAGCCGGTAGGTACTAACCACGTTTGCGAAACGCTGTTAATTTTTTTTCGTTCACTATGTTTATTCCGATTTAATTTCTCATCTTCATGCTGAACGTATGGTAACGTGTTTTTTTTACTAGATAGTGATTTGAATAAATCTGCATGTAAGTCTAGGTAGTTTTTTGTTAGGTCATAGTCCTTTTTTATGCTATGACTCTGCGTCTATCTTTGAAAGCTTTTGTCTCCTATCTAGTGGCGATTGTTTCCAAATACGCTTTAATGTTTTTCTTGTGTCATTAATAATCACTTAAAATATAAGTTATTATATAGTTAACCATAATTCTGGAGTTATTAGGCGTGATTTATCACAAGTTTTTTGCATTAAGTCCTTTTGTTTCTCTGTGTCTGGTTGTTTTATAGCTTGGAAGCGTAATGACCGTGGAATCATTTGTTTCTTTGACACCATCAGTATTTTTAAAGTTACTGTTTTTTTTTTACCTCTACCGTCACGTCTTTCGCGTTTGAAAATATTTCGTTTAAGACAAATCAAAAAACGTTTTATCTATTGTGATGGTCGTCAGTTTATAATGAGTTTAATTTAACATTTGTAATGAGATTGTCCAATTGTAGGATTCATTTTTTGTTTGACAGTTTCTCGACCACCGTTTTGGCAATACCGATGTAATTTTATGATTAAGTTCTCACTGTTGCTGCTGCGGTATCGATTAAGAAAACAAAAGACTTAATTATTTTTGTAAATGTAACTCGAGTGACCGACTACTTGGTATATTTCAAAGCGTTCGACTGATACAGGTTGGTTTAATTTTCGATATGTGTACGGTCCTTGGATATACTTATTCGTATAAGGAGGTCTATAACGTTAGGTTAAGATCAGTCGTTAGATAGTGATAGATGTGACCGTATTTTTGTTATTTTGAGCTCTTCCATTCTTTGGAAATATCACTAAGTGGTTGATCTCGGCTGCGTATTATACTGATCCCGGGTTAAAGTCCGTTTCCCCTGGGTATTTCTTAACATGGAATAGCTAAACCCAAGTAAAAAATGATATACAATACTCAGATAACTTAAAATATGTTTCTTGATTCCAGGAAAACATAGATCCATCGCCGTACAGCCTTTCACCGGTGTCGGCTAAATCACAGAAGCTGCTCCGTTCCCCTAGGAAGGCAACGAGGAAGATCTCGCGGATCCCGTTCAAGGTTCTCGATGCGCCAGAGTTGCAGGACGACTTCTATTTAAACCTAGTGGACTGGTCCGCGCAGAACGTGCTCAGTGTCGGCCTGGGAAGCTGCGTGTATCTGTGGAGCGCTTGTACCAGCCAGGTAGGCCTTGAGTTTGGTTAGGTATAGAAAATTTTGCTTAGCTCTCTCAAGATTGGAGTTGGTCATATAAATTAATCAACAAATACCATTGTAAACGTGAGTGAAGCTTCAGAGATATGTCGTTATTTGTAATATAGGTATACTTATTTACTAATATTATAAAGAGGAAACATTAGATTGTTTGTTTGAATTGAATATGAATCGGGAGAAAACAGCTAATGTACAATAGAGCGTAAGTTAATAATATTACAAAATATTTTCACAAATATTAATGTTATGATATATTTGGTTTGTATTTTGAACTAACTTCAAAATCCGAAAGGAGGAAGTTTACATGTTCGGCGATGTATGTTGTTTTTATGCATGTTCGCCGATATTTTCGCCAATTCTTGACCGATTTGAATCATGAATTCGTAGATGAAAGTAAAAATCGGCCCAATAGTTTCAGGACTTCAATAGCATTTTCTTGAATAAGTCGCCTTTGAGATAAGTATTACTTATCACTATTTTAAAGTTTGAAGACGGTACTATTTAAAAAAAAAGTTTTTATTTAACTTATTTGGTGCGCTTGGCGATGTTGCAAGGTGTCTTGATAATTTACAGAAAATTTATCTTTTTTATTGAATGCGTCTAAAAATTTATCCACGGTCGTATAAAAAGTGGCAAAGCCAATTTTCGACTTATGCGTCGTATAAGAAACACTAATATATTTGTTTGTCCTTTGTAGTGAGAACTGTAGAACTGGGATGAGTGTTTTCTCATACTATTATTAGACTTTCATGTAACTAACAGTCGTATTACAATATTCATGAGAAACGGGATCGTGCTAATACATTAACAACACATGGTAATATTGTTAGTTTTTTTTTTTTTTTTTTATAAGAAACATTGTATTCTATATTGTAGAAACGGCTTAAGTCATCACTTTCGGAATGTTACGACTCTTTTTTTTTATTTAAATACAAAATCCGTAAGCAACAAATTATATGGCGAAATTTTACTGCCAGATGAGTTTACAAATTTTGCTTTTTACTTCAGTTAGAAAATAATGGAAGCGACAATTTAGATATTTTTTATTAATTGTTTTTCATTAGGACATCGAATTTGAACTAATATTTAAGTAACAACTACTTAGGTCTGGTCGTTCTCGAGTCTTGCGTTTTACAACATAACCTATTATTATTATTTCTTTTATAATTTACTAATATTTATACGAGCTAGTAGGAATGGATGTAGCTTTGTATGTTAGTTACTCTTTCACGCAAAAACTACGGAACAGATTTCGATTTGACATTTTATCTCGCTAAACTAAACGGAACCTTAGGGACCTCGCGGGCGAAGCCGCTGGTGGAATGTTAATGTATTTGTAGGTGATTAAGTTACAATACCATGAAAGTTATCGTTGGAAATTGTTTCATTCTTGTCTTTGATTGTAGGTGACGCGACTATGTGACCTATCATCAGAAGGCAATGCGGTCACTTCAGTGGCGTGGGGTGAGAGGGGTCACCTCGTCGCTGTTGGGACACAAAAGGGGCACATTAGCGTGTGGGACGTTAGTGTCAATAAAGAGGTAAGAATATATTGTAGGAAGTTTAATATTAAAAAACAAAATAAAATTTATTACAAAACTATATATCTACGATTGTGAAAGTTAAGCAACTCTCGCAGAGGTCTGTGATGGGATGGGTGACCGTTCTATTATATCGAGCTCTTTCGAAATGCACGTTGTGCTTTTGGCCCCAGCGATATTTGTATACGTTTTCGTCTAAATAAGAAAATGTTATTTTTCAGAATGATTATATTTCTAGTCTTATTCCTGTTTTTTTTTTTACAATGTTTTTATGTAATTTATTTTCTAGTAAAATAATTTTCAGTCTGAATTTTGTGGATACATTTATAATCTTATTTATATTACCTATATAATCGTTGATTTTAAGTTCCATAAACATGTATGCAGTCTATCTTATTCTTATCTGGTCGTAGGTGACAAAACTACAAGGTCACATAGCTCGGGTTGGTGCTCTGGCGTGGAACGGTGACATTCTGAGTTCGGGTTCACGAGACAGGCACATACGTCAGCGGGATACGAGAACGCCGCGTAAGTAAATACTCATTCACGAGATGTGTCGCGGGAAAATACTATTTAACATTATCGCATTAGGGTTTAAAAAAATGCAGTGCAACGTCAAACGCAAACAGTGATAACGGACCTTTTTAGTTTGCCCACTTAACTTGTGTTTAACGTGCAAATGTATGGGAACTTTTTTAATTCCTCTTTAAGCGCAAAACCTGTCTTATCATGATAAATAATTATTCGTTTACGAAAGTTTTAAATGGTAATAACGTTTTAACTTTTTTTTTTAATATTGTCTCGCGACTTCTGTTTTGTAGTATGCCGAAATAAATCTACATGTTATATAAAACTACCTAATGGTTTTTAGGGTTCCATACTCATTTCATATTATTAAGACTCCGCTGTCCGTCTGTCTATGATTACTAGACAGTTAAAATTCTCACAGATGATTTATTTATATTGCTACAATATAAATATAAAAAGCAGAATAAAATTAATCTTTAAGGGGGCAACATACATATTTTTTTATAGATAAAATGCTACGGAAACCTTCGTGCGCGAATCCGACTACCACTTGGTCGGTTTTTCATTGCAAATCATTGAAAACACGAAATAATGGCTGTATTGAACTTATTTATTATATCGTTTTATATTATGTGTTTCTCAGCCAGTTGCACAAACGTCCATTAAGGTTTAATGACGCCTTTAAGCTCTAATGTATGTCAAAATTGTATGGGTAATGTCACTTTAAACTAATGAGAACTTTAACGGACGTTTGTGCAACTCACTGTCTGTATTCTATATATTATTTATATAAGGTCTGCTTAGTTTTATTTAACTTGAACCAACCATTATTATTGTTATTTCTTTTGCAGCACTACAATCGTCAAGGGTACTACAAGGGCACCGTCAAGAGGTGTGCGGCCTAAAGTGGTCGCCGGACGGTCAGTCGCTTGCGTCCGGAGGCAATGACAACAAACTATTCGTCTGGTCTATGGTAAGTTTGTAATAAAATTTCTATGGATTTATCCATATACACATTATAGTTATGCCTTTTCGACAAGCAGTAGAGATTATGTCTGGGTAAATAAAAAGCTAAATTCTATCAAATCCCTCAGATAATAGAAAACTATAAGATACTTTTTTTTTTCACTTTATTTAACAAGAAATGTCTTAGATAATATGCATTATAGTTGAGGTGTGGGTGTTAGGTACGTCAAAACAATGTATAAAATGTATAAAAGTACATTTTCGTGTGTCATGCGACATATTAATTCAATGTATCAGAGTAATGTATCGATTACGCAAAAACTAAAATTACGCGTTTTAATATTCTACAATAATGTATCTGAAGGATATAAAAAATGTCATTGTCTTTATTACAATATTATAGATTTTTTAAAATATCTTATTTTAATAACGTCGTGCTTCATTTTCACTTGAGATAATTAGTATTCTCATATATTTTTCTAGAATATAATTTACGTATAAATCTACGATTATTAAATGTCGTCGTTATATACTGCTAAAACGTTTGTAGTTAATTATTATGTTAATTTTGAAGTACGCCGGGCTGCACGGCAAGTAACCACATTATGTCAAATTATACACTAAAATTGATAGAAATGTATGGGCAAAGTTTTTATAATATTTAGTATTATATGTAAATAATCATGTCAACTGTTCAGAACTTTTGCTCAATAATGAAATTGGGACTAGTCGCTTGTAAAGTAATAAACCTTTAGTAAAGTACAAAACATCTGTTTGCGAAATCAATGTAGGCGTGAGATTTTGTGGTCACAGATAATTTCAATTATTGTGGTGACACGCATAGTTCCTGTTCAGTGTTATGTTATCTATTGCTCTACGTAGATATAGACTTATATTAGAATGGTCATGTTCACATTATTTAATTTACGCAGTTTTAAACTCTATTTCATTGATATAACGGTATCCATAGTTGAGCGGTTATACGGCTAACAGGCCGTATCGATCCACATACGAAATTTGATTGTGTGATGGATCAACAGATGGAGATGGATGGAGTAGCTAGGGGGTGTAATTGTTAAGCGCTGCGGCTCGCGATCTTTGTTGTTAAGTAACTTTCGCAAAGGTCTTTCATGGGATGGGTGACCAAAAAATTATTATCTCGAGTTAATCCGTGTTTCGCAAGGCACGTTAAGTCGTTGGTTCCGGCATTTGCATTGGTTAATACCCGCCAATCCGCGGAGCCAATTGGACCAAGGTGCTCATGACCCATCATACTTAACCATCCATTACGAAGGCCTGAGCCCTTGCAGTAGGGATGTAAACGGATGATGGATCAACGTCATCATTAATCGTATTGCATGGGGTATCAATACGAACATTTAATTGACCATGTAGAAAGATGTTTATACTCTAGATGGCCATTGGGAACGATTATAGTAAAAAATTGTTTCGTACGGTAAATTTTGTTAAAATGTGGATGTTTAAAATTGAAAACAAATATTCTAAGTACAAGAGCCACTTATTTTATTACATTTGTTATAATTTGTTTATAACGGCAATCCGAAAAAAGCATTAATTTTTTTATTCAACATTAAAAGCAAATAAAATGTGATTTATTAATGATATTTAAATAGCAAAAACTCGGCTATTTGACCTGTGACGTAATTTTTCAAACTAACAGCCATATGACAGCTAACTATACCTAATCGATTTGCTTTAAAAAAAAAAAAACAAATATATTTTTGAATCGATAAAAAGTACTCGTATTTGGTATATTTGAAGTGATATTTTTATAAAATTTGTATTGAAAATATTTGCAAATGTCGCAGTTAATCGAAAATCGAGCTTTTAATGCTGATTTTATCGAGATTCTATCTTGAAATGATTAATTATTTTCTCGAAGATAATCTCGTAATTTTGAACAACGACGAAATTATATTTATGGCCCGCATGGATGGTCAAATATCGAAGTTCCAAGCTCCGAGTCAAGTCTCAAGTCAATTTTAATAATACAGGCAGTCCTCGTACTTACGGCATGTTAGGTTCTCGAAATACGCGACGTAAAGCGAGTAGGACGTAATTCGAGACATATTTTTTCATATGTTTACATGTTAAACTCAAAAGTTAGGTTCCACACGGACTCACATCACACCACATCACCAGCCCTTTTACGTCCCCACTGCAGGGGCTCAGGCCTTCCTTATGGATGGTTAAGGAGGATGGGCCATGACCCTCCACGCTGGCCCAATGCGGATTGGAGGGTATTAACGACTGCAAATGCAGTCGGGACCAACGGCTTAACGTGCCTTCCGAAGCACGGAGTAGCTCGAGATAATAATTTTTGGTCACCCATCCCGTGACCGACCCTTGCGAAAGTTGCTTAACGATTACGATCGCGGGCCGCGGCGCTTATCCACTACGCCACCGAGTTACTCAAAATAATAAACACGGACTCAAAATAAACAAAAAACTACATTTATAACAAAGGATATAGATACTTTATTATCAAAAGTAAGTAATCGTAAATGTATTGACGTATGCTTGAGGAACAGTGTCAAGACATTGTTTGACGTAACTTAAAACGACGTAAATGGAGGACTACCTGTATATGATAATTGGATAGGCATAGAATATACCACGGTAAGGTTGCATATCGTTTGTTGCAGCACTCGACGAGTCCGGTGCAGACGTACTCGTCCCACGTGGCGGCCGTGAAGGCGATCGCGTGGTCGCCGCACCAGCACGGCCTGCTGGCGTCCGGCGGCGGCACCGCGGACCGGTGCATACGGTTCTGGAACACGCTCACCTCGCAGCCGATGCAGTGCGTCGACACGGGTCAGTGCGGTGGATATCAGGGCCTACACTCCCATTAGGGGCCGTCCGTTAATTACGTCACACGAAATTCAGGATTTTTTAAACTTCCCCCCCCCCCCCATGTCACATATTTATCTATACGAATTCTAGTAAATATTGTTCTAATGTTCGTCTCACAGTTCGTTTTCTTAACTCCATATTTAAGAACTGACATTCATAGACCTGTTTATTCATAATTGCTTTAGCGAATCTCGGGTACCCCAAAAGGAACACCAAATTCGTTTATTTGAAAAGAAACGTAGTTCACTGACAGCGTCTGTTTTTTTTATTTAGAGGAATATCTAAATACATTTATATATAGACCTAATATGTTATAAAAATTGTTTCATTAACAGGATCCCAAGTGTGCAATCTGGCGTGGTCGAAACATTCGAGCGAGTTGGTGTCCACGCACGGTTACTCGCAGAACCAGATTCTAGTATGGAAGTACCCTTCATTGACGCAGGTAAGTTGTCCCTGTTAAAATTAACGTTATATACATTACTAGCTTTCCGCCGGCGTCTTTGCCCGCATGGTCTTCTATTATACATATAAATCTTTCACTTGACTCTTATCGATTAACCCCCGGTTTCAATAACCAAAAAACTATCCGTTTTTGCTACCATCCGTAGCATTTCCTACCGATGGTAGCAAAAAAGTGTTTCAATAACATACCATTGGTAGGTAAAGCTACCGACGGTGTGCTACTAACGAATTGATCTGATACTGATAACCGTTCGTAGGCAAAATGTATGAAAATGGCGCAAACAGGTGTTTCAATATCTTTCGGTAGAGCTGTCAAACTTACTATCCGTAGCTTATCTGTCAAATTTGCCTACCGGCCATTTTCCGTCGGTTATCGTAAAAATATTTATAAATGACACGTTTTTTCTTGTTAACTAATAGAAAAATAATAGTTTTTCATTAAAAAATTAATATTGTAGAAGAGTTTGATGTGTTTTGTGGTTCCAATTAGAAGAATTTAAGTTGTAATCATGCCAATGTTTGTACCTTTAAGGGCTCATACTACCAATTAATCATTGCTCCAGATGCTTTCTACAATATGTTTCTGTTGAAAAACTTGATGGTTTACCTCTATATAATTATGAAAAACCTTGTTCTGATGAAACTGAATTTGCCACCTACTTGTACCAAACTTATACACGTTACATTAGTTTATACCCTTTATTTTTTATTAAACACTGATATTGATTTAATTCTTAATAAAACCTAATTTGGATATAACTTATTTATTATACAAATAAAAAACTACATAATTTTTACATTCCATTTTTCTACGTTTGTTTTACGATTTGATACAATCATTCCACTTTTTCTTATAACAATTCATTTATCATCCTATGTCAATAGATCACAATTGTTCACTGTCAAATTCATTAATGTTATCTTGCAAATTCAATATTATAGTACAAATCACTTTATACAATTAACAATTTATAATAAAGATCAACTCTATATAAAATTCCCGCTAAGCTTCTACGGAACATAAATCAACTTTACTTTTTGGCATAATTAAAGGCAAAGGGATATAGCACATACAACCTAGTCTAGAGTGACAATATTCACATTGAGGTTCACTTGGACGTTTTAAATGCTTTTATTGGAGCAAAAATTGAAATATATTAAAAAATGTAGAGGTATGTTAAAGTAACACGTTCGCGTTCTTGTACCTACTAAATTGACAAAACACTGCTCATAACCATTGCACCGTACCATTTCAATGAACTGTGTATTGCACACGAATTATTAATGAATTATATTCCGAAATTTAATTCGAGATAAAAAAAACTTATATAAACAAATGATGTTATTTTAGGGGTTGCAAACATTTTCCAAAAGGTTCTAATCATAATTTTATTTTTCCAAATAATAATACGGAAATAAGATGTATAGTCTTATTTTTTATCGACTTCAATGAAAGAGAAGGTTTCTTATTCAAGTGTAACTAATTTTGTATAACAATGTGGGGATAAAAATGTAAGATTTGTTGACATTATCCTATAAGAATTTCATTACTTTTTCAATTTTAAGTACTTTAAATTGTAAATCAATATCGAATAAAATACTTGTACAGTAGGTGGCAAATTCAGTTTCATCAGAACCAGGTTTTTCATAATTATATAGAGGTAAATCATTATGTGTTTCAAAAGAAACATATTGTAGAAAGCATCTGGACCAATACTTAATTTGTAGTAAGAGAAACATTGACATGATTACAACTTAAATTCTTCTAATCTGAACTACAAAACACATTAAGCTCTTCTACAATATTATTTTTTTAATGAAAAACTGTTACTTTTCTTTTAATTAACAAGGGAAAACGTGTTATTTATAAATATTTTTACGATAAATCATACTAAATAAAAAAAAGTTTAATTCAATGAGCCAAATGTTCCGAATCGCTGTTTCTTGCCTGCAGCATAAAATATTTCTATCCTATTTTTATCTAAAAAAAGGATTTTTAGTTCAAGTAAAAAAATTACTAAAAACTTTTAAAGAGATAAATTTTAGCTATTTGTTGTAATGGTAACTCTTTTGTTTACATCAGAATTCCATTTCAGACGATAATTTGTTTCACAATAACACCACTTTTAAGAACCTAACCATATAATAAATAAGTCATAATAATTCCAAAACAAATTTCAAATTTAGTTTCGGTACGTAATTAATCAGTTCACCTCTTTCCTATTGATGTCTCTGTCTTCCTTCTTACGATTTCGATTTTGTCCAAGAAATTATTAAATGTTAAAGACCAACATTTCAGTAGAATCATAATATTACCTAAGACAAGGCTGTATGGAAAGAACCCTTTTCCTCGAATTATATGATTACAATTTAAAAAAATGAGCTACCGACAACCGTTCGTAGTTGGTAGGCGCCTACCGATGATTGTGAAACGCAAAAACGAATGTTTGTCGGTAACTCAAAAAACGGTCGGCAGCTGCTACCGATGGTTGTCGGTATATTATTGAAACCGGGGGTAAGACCACATTAAAATCCGTTCTGTTAAAAAAGACGATTGTGCTATACAGGGTTATGGGTAATTAGACCGGATCCTTTTAAAGGGTCGTAGGGGAGGTCATTTTTACTTATTTTCACCCCACATTGTATATCCGTTTTTTTTTTAATTTAAAACTTTTGTTTTTGTTTGGGTCAAGATTATTTGGGTTTTATCATTATTTATCACGAAATGGAATGTTATCTCTCAAAAACTGTCAACAAAATTAGATTCTGACCATATATTAATTCGACTTTTCGACTTTTTTAAAGAAAAAAATAAATACAATTTATCACAAAAATGACTCACTTTCGGATACATAATGAGAGGTGAAAATAATTGTAAATTACCTCACCTACGGCCCCTTACAAGGATCCGGTCTGATTATCCATAACCCTGTATAAAAAAACTAGATAGATTACGTCGAAATGTCTGTGATCTATACAGAGTACAATTTCACATGGGAGTAAAACTTAATATTACGATGTTATATTTTATTGAATCACTTCTTCGCGAATAATGCATGATTAGACAAATTGTTATCATGTGCCACTTCAATATGAAATGAAAAATCCTGATATTTCTCTTCTATATATTTTCCTCAATTGGGATATTTTATCTTAATTCCAGGTAGCAAAATTAACGGGTCACTCGTACCGTGTGCTGTATTTGGCTCTATCGCCGGACGGCGAAGCGATAGTAACCGGTGCCGGAGACGAAACATTACGGTTCTGGAACGTTTTCTCCAAAACACCATCGCATAAAGAGAACAAGAGTGTCCTGAACCTATACACCGCTCTCAGATAAACGAACGGTGGACGTGTGAAAGAGATAAAAGATATTTATATTGATTTTTTCTACTAATGTATTACCGCTGCTCGAGCAGTGCTTGTATATACGGTGTTTACTTAGTACTATTTGTACATTTTATTTTTTAGTGTATTAAATAGCTTTGCGACTTGTTTTGTTAAGACCATATATTTAATTATTACTTATTTTTGTAATACTTAACAAAAACTTATTTGCAAGTGACATTTGATAGAGGCGATAAACGTGAAATTGTTAACTCGATCGTGTTAGCTTATATAAGTGTAAAAAATATATTATTTAGCAACTTCCATATCCATTTACAACGGTCGATAGGAACTCGGGTTATTACGAACGGTGCAATCAATTTTCAATCCTAATTTAATGATTATTAAGGTCAGAATTGATTTTAGAGACCGATGTGTCGATGTTGCGTACTTGCCAGTCGCCTGTGCATCGCCCCTAAATAAATACAGTGCATAAGCGCTCAAATTGTATTTGCAGGCGTTGCACAGATATTTTGCAGGTACCACTAGTTGTGGATTAGTTGCAAAATAGCGTAATTTTATAGTTGCTGGAATAGATTTCCGGTAGTTCTATTAAAGTACACTACAACTGTGTTATAAATGTATAATATACTTTTATTATGAGTGTATAACACCCCAACAAACGCCCAAGTGTATACCATGATAAATGTAAATTGTGTCCGTGTGGAATGTATAATAAAAGTCCACTAATTTACAACTAGATGTATTGTTATTGCAATACAAACCTTAACTTATTAGTTAACACGATTGAATTTACATTTAAGATTCATGATAATCACAAGGGATTCGAATGTGTTACTTTTTATGTCAACATTTGGTAGCGGTAATTGTGAATTTTTAAAATGATGTGTATTATTTGTTCCTAAAAAGTTATGCTGGTACTATTACGTAAACAACCAACAGACTATCTAATAAAGAAAGCTGATATAATGATATATTGAATAAAATTTTAACGCTTTATTTAGTCTGTGGTAAATTTACGTTTTGTTAGTGAGATGTTTTTTGTGCCAATCAATCTTTAAATTATACCGCGCTATATTTTCTTTTTATACAGAAAAGCTGGTCTAATAATAGTTTTTTTTTTTCATTAACATTCCTGCTGCATTTTCGTAATGCTGTTTCATGTGTGTTCTTTGATGATATTTTTTGAATAAAAATATATGGCAATGGTGTTGCCAGTGCTGTAACTATTTTTATCTGAAATTATCTTGCAAAATAAATAAATGTTATAGATATTTTTCTCTATACGTAATATTACGCTGTGTTCCATTAATTTGATTACTATTCATAAAATATCCTTAGAACCTACTGACTCTTGTATTTTTATATCAATGTACATAGGTTTGTGTATTCCTATACATATTAATTTCTGCTATTTTATTTGGTAGCGTTATAACAAGATGTGGTTATGAATTTTTTTATTTGTTTGCAAGGAATAAACTCGCCATAATATATATCCCAGTCATTTTTAAAAATCATTCCAAACGTCAATGCAGTCTGTCATCATTACGGAATGGCCTTTGCGTTATGTATTATTTCGATATATTGCAGTAGTTGTAGAAATTTACGACAGTACTAAATTACAACAAAATCAATAGAAATAAATTATCATGTAAGAAAAATAAAAATAGGAACTTTAACATATCATTATTTATTGTCGTAAGCATAAAGAGGAAGTTTATTCCTTGCAAACGAAAAATTTGACTAATTTTATTGTTGATAATGAATTTTTGACAACCCTAATGATTGTACTTTGGAAATCCTTTATAAGTTTTTATACGAAAGGTTTTTTCCTACAAAAATGTGTTATTTCCTTTGACAAATTGTGTTAAATTAACTGTGTTTTTACGTGTACATATAATGGCATATCAGGTAACGATAAAATTTCA